GCGTTTGTGCCGAAAATTACAGCCCAGGATCTCAACAGCAGGGAGCTGCTCATGTAGCCAGCTAATAGCATAAAGATTGCATGGTTGTGACTTGTCTTTGGCAGCTGCCCTGTGGTGAAAATCTTGGCTTCCTGGAGTCCTAGACAGATCAGCTAACAGTGTCTCTGGAGGTGGAATCTCTGCACTGTAAATTTGCCTGGAACAACTTGGTACTGCTGTGCCTGTGGCTTATTTTCCTGCCCTGTTGGTAAAATGTTCCCAATAAACCTTTAGGTTGGTGGTACTGCAGTCATGAGCAGTACAGGTGAAAGTGGCTTACAGTCTCTTTCTAAGGAGGTAATAGTTTTTCTAAAACTTTCAGAATTGTTTCTAATTCTTCTGACATGGTGCATAATTTATTCTGTCCCTCTAAAACCATCTTGTCTTACATTGACTAGGGTTAAACAGTTGCACATCATACAGGTGGGTGGTGAAGTCATGTTGGCCTTCCACTTAAGGTGGTCAAGATTTTTGGAGTGGTCAAGAGTTTTGGATTTTCCTCTTTTTCCATGCTGACATATGAGATGAAAGTAATGTTTCCTTTCTCCAACAATTTTTCTGCTCTCAAGGCTGAAACTGAAGTGCATGGAGGAAGGAACAAGTGTGGTAGTGGAGCAGAAGATCCAAGTGCAGGACTGGTAGCAGGTTTAGAGAGGATGAATTCTGGAAAAAATTGACTTGTGCAGCAGTTGGCAGGTAATGGGCAGCTCTAATTGGTGCCTGGAGTGACTCTTTGGGACACTGGCTCTTGCAGCTCACTGGTCAGTGTGACACAGCCTGGACCAGCAGAACAAAGGTGGATGGGGCGTTCGAGATGTGGTGTGGGAAAGCCGGGTATTGCTGAGGCCATCTCCTCACAGGGTGAGTCATTAAACAGCTCAGAAATGCCCTGAAAGCTCACCTTGAGAGAACACTTAAAGGGAGGAAATGGCATATTCTGTAGCTGAAAATGAGCTGTGTGGTTTCGTTACTGTGGTTGGTCTCAGAAATTGCTGCATTCTTCTGCTTTTGAGGTGGAACTGTGGGGTATTCAAAAGATATTTTGGAATAATAGCTAGAAATGATTTAGGGAGTTCTCTGGGTTAAGTGCAAGGAAAGATAGTAAATTTAATTGGATTAATCTGTGTAATGGTTTGCATTATGTACAATTTGCTGTGAGCTCCTGTCTTCAGACCATTCTAGTGTTCAGCACAGAATGTGCTGCTTCATGAGCCCTGGCACACGTTGCCCAGAGAAGCTGTGGCTGCCCCATCCCTGGAAGTGTCCAAGGCCAGGTTGGACGGGGCTTGGAGCAACCTGGGATAGTGAAAGATGTCCCTGCCCATGGCGGGGGGTGGAATGAGATGGGCTTTAAGATCCCTTCCAGCCAAACCATTCCATGATTCCATGATGGTGGTGCCTAGTGGTCATTCCTGCATTTAATCCTTTAACATGCTCCTTGAGCAGGTGCTCTTCAGGGGCAGAACTGCTTAGTCCTCCAGCAAGATGGAAGATGTGCTCAGCTGTGCATCAGTCTGTTCTTGATGCTCATGCAAATAACCTTAATTAGTCACCTGGCTGGTGGTGTCTGTGGCCAAGGGTACAGGCGCAGTCACTGGATCAAGATTCACAGTCAGCCATGAGGGAAAGAGCAAGTTATGCTTTTTGGCAGGCAACGGGAGGCCCATCCATGTCTTAATGAGAGGATGGCTGGCTAGAGGCTTCAGGAGAAAAATGGAGGTGCTTTTATGGTCACAACTCTTCCATGATTTTACAGCAAGGCTTGTTCTGAGCCTCGTTAAAAACGTGTAACAGTAAACGCAGCAGGGACTTTCTGATTCCTAGTCTATATTCCTGACAAATCAAAGTAGGAGTTTTAGAAGTACTGAAGAAAGTCAGTTGCTGAACTTCCTAAGCATTTGGAACATCCAAAGAAAATCAGATGCCGGAATGGCTTGTGCCTGTTTGGATGTGCTGCCCAGGACATCAGATTATGCCAAATCTCGTGGCATTTTGTAGCTAAACTTTGTTGGGAGAAAATAATGATCCATAGTGTTCCTTCAAGATTTAATGGCAGTGGCTTGTGGTAGTCTGGTTTTAAAAATATCCACTTGATAACGGAAAACCATTTAAGCTTAAATTAGGTTTAAGAAGTAAAAATTTACACATGCTTTCATCTGCTGCGAGAAATAATTCTCACAGAGCATTTGGAAAAGTACTGGCACTTGGTTTCTGTGTTGGGCCTTGATGTTTGCTGCTTTCTAGTGCTGAAAAGGTTCAATTCTCAGCTACAAACCGCTGCTCAACTGATTCCATGCTGTCACTTTGAGCTTTACCAAGGGGAATAGAGTAACAGCAAAACAAAGAGCAAACCCAGGCCCCTCAGTGAGCATCATCTGGTTTCAGTTTTGTCATGCTTTTTGTCTGATGAATAGAGAAGGAATTTCATTGCACATAATCTGTTCCATTTAACAGCTCAGATCTTGTCCATTCCTACAAAATTAATTTAGGCATAGTGTTTTATTGGTCTGGATTAATTATGCTGCTTTTATCACAGATAATGTGCAAAAGATATATATGTAGTTTGTATTTCTAGGTCAGAAGCACATCAAGTTATTAAAATATTCTCTTGTCAGTTTATAGCTATACATGTCTTTCAGCCATTTTCCTTAAAAGTAGGCTAATATGTACTTAAGAAAACTAATTACTATCATTATGAAAAGAAATAATCGGTGTGATGAGACTTTACAGTGGCCCTTGGTTTGTCCTGAAAACTGAGCTGTGAATCCTGGTTCTCCAAGGTCTGCTGGAGCAGGCAGCAGTGTGGGAGTGCTGGGGGAAGGGGGTCCTGTGTGCTGGGCAAACTTAGCTGGGTGGGCAAAATGTTTCCCCACAGATGCACTTGGTAGCTGTCACATGGACTTCAGTGTGCTTCTACCATCTGGGTTTTGACAACCTCATGACAATGTCAGGGTTTGTCTACTGGAGTAATTGCTGGGAGATGGAAACATTTCCACTTTTATCTCAAAACTTATTCTCATGTTAGGATCCCTTTTTCATGTGTGACTTCAGATATAAGGTATGAATTGGAGGCAATTAAATATGGGCTTTAAACTGCTTTCAATTATCTTCTTCCATCTCCCAAGGAAATAGTAGAGGAATAAAATATTGCAGAGTAATAGTAATGAAGCTGTGTTGTTATGCTAAATCAGTCAGATATTTGTCAGCATTACGGACTAAATCCCTCGAGGAGGAAAATGAATGTTTTGTGTTCTTATTTTAATCACACAGTTGGAATCCTAATGCAGAGCTAAGACCAGGTAATGCTTCCGGTTTCCTTCATCTGACTGGTGGCAATTTGTGATGGAATTTGTAGCCGTCAGTTAACAGGGATTTAGTTTTTTCCTTCTGAAGCTGAGCGAGAATGCAGGCAACATTTGGTCTTCTCCAAGTGTAGCGCTGGCCACGGGGTAAGTTTGGTAACAAAGCTGCAGTTAAACCTCTGGTATTACTAAATTGCAATTACAGGATGTAGCTCTTGGGTAAAATGTTACATTTCTAAAGCAAATTGTGGTTAGACCCATTTGTAGAATCTCCCTGGAATGTGTGAGCTTGTATGTGCTGAGGTGTGAAAGTGCTATTGATTCTGATATTGTTGCCTCTGCAAATGAAATGGGTGTTTAAGGATGATTTGCTTGGATGTTTTTTTGTTTCATACACTGCTTTATGAACACAGGTGAGTTGGTACATTTTATTTTTTCTTTAGTTTCTGCAGAAAAATATATTAATTTTCAAAACTGGTTTTCTTTATAATAAGTGAACAATACTTGTCACGTCTTTCAGATTCTGTGTGATACTGGACGTGGTTTTGGTGGTTCGTTCCGGTTTGGTCGTGTGGGGAGATGGAATTTCTCACAAAACCTCAGCCAGTGGAGTCTGGTCACCTTCTCACGAAAGTCTGTGACTGCTTTCTCTTGGAATAGGGCTGTATTCCAATCCCCCTCCTTTCACACATAACATCTGACAGGAGTGTAGAAGCTGCTGGTACCAGCAGGGATGATGGTCTTGGCATACTGAGGTGAAGCTGCCAAGGACGGGTTTCCTTGTCTGTTTAAAGAAGAACGGAGCCAAGCTGGGCTGAGGCTGCAGCAGGAGGGGACACTTGGGGCTGCTCAGGTGGGACCTCGGCCGTTCTCAGTGTCAGTCACGTCACCCCTGTCTGGCTGTCTCTACTTGGGGAACTTTCCTCCCAAGCTTCTGGGTTCATGTCCTGGTGAGCTGTGAGTGCAATGGTCGATCGATCCCCGCAGGGGAGAGGGTCATTCTGGTGATCCCCATGGAGGAAGAGGGTCATTTTGGTGATCTCTGCAGGAACCAAGGGTCATTCTTGTGATCCCCATGGAGGAGGAGGGTCATTTTGGTGATCTCTGCAGGAACCAAGGGTCATTCTTGTGATCCCCATGGAGGAAGAGGGTCACTCAGGTGATCCCTGAAGAGGCTGAGCATGATCCCTGTTGAGGAGGAGGATCGCTCTGGGGCTGTTACTGGAGTTGGGGCTCTACCCCTGAGTTACTCTTTGTGAGGGTGCTGTATTTTACCGCGGTGATTCACTTGCTACAGCTGAGTGGATGTTGCAGAGTGGCCCAGGTGGCCCCTGTGCTGCAGCGGCTCCTGTTGACACCAGCTCTGTCCCCGTGTCCATCCCGTCCAGGGCCGGGCCGGGCCCCCTGCTGGGCACAGGGGGCAATGCACTTTGGTGCGAAATGACGTCACGGGCCCCGCTTCGTGACGCCACCGTGACGTCAGCCCCCTCCCAGCCAATCAGCGCAGGAAAGGTTGGGACGGTGACGTGAACTACCCTAGCAACAGTCGGCGCGGCGCCACCCAATCAGAAAATAGCAGTGGGCGGCCGTGAGCCAATGGGCGCTGTCGGCGGAGGCCGGCGGCGGAGGCCGGCCCGCGGGGCTCACTCCGATAAGATGGCGGCGGCGCTGGCGATGGCGGCGGCCGCGGCTTTGTCTGCGCCCAGCGCCTGAGCGCGGCCCCGGCCCGGGCGGTCGCTCCGCTCCGAGCAGCGGCGGCGGAGTCATGACCGCAGAGCCCGTGAGGTACGGCCGGGCCGAGCGGCGCCGCGGCGGCCGCGGGGTGGGGCGGGGCCGGGCCCGGCGCGGCCCGGGCGGGCCGAGGGCGGGAGGCGGGAGGGCAGCGCCGCGCTCGAAGCCGCGGGGCGGCGGGGCCGGGCCGGGCCGGGCGCGGGAGAGACCGGGAGGGACCGCGCGAGGCCGCGGGAAGGCCCCGGGGCCGCCCCCGCCCCACGTGCGAGCGCGGCGGGGAAGCCCCGCCGAGCCCCCGCCGGGCGCGGACATCGCCCCGGGCTGTCCCGGCGGGCGGGCACCGGGAGCGCGGGGACGGGCAGACCCCCGGCGGGGTCGGGGCTGAGGGAGGCGCCATGTTAAACTGTTCACAAATAGTTGTCTTTGTGTGCTTTCGGTTTGCCCGCGTCTGAGCGGCTGTGACTGACCCCGCAGCCCATCACCCACGGGCGCTCCACGTGCCCCGGGCACTGGATAAACCTTCGAGGTGTTGGCACTTGACCCTCACAAATGTTGCACATGTCTTCAGAATCGAAGTGTTGTGAGGGGGGAGGCATCGCTCTGTCTTTAGTAGTGAGCCTTCGGTGAAGTTTTTTCTGTGGTCATATTTGTGTATCTTCACCTCCCGCCCGTACGCTTATTTCGAGTAGTTCATAACTACTGTGTCATTTTAGCCAAAAGTTAAAGGGACGATGGTTTTTCTCCTCTTGCATATTGCTTGGTTTTAAAGCCTTAATGCTTCCGAGGAAGAATCTACAAAATCCAGATTCTCGAAGATAATCATCGTTGTTGATGTTGATCACATGCTGATGTAGGTCATGAGTATCCAAATGCACATTATTTGGTGCATGACTTCCCAGCAGTTTCTTCTGCATGTGTTACTTTGTAAGACAGGGATTGTCCATCTTTCCTTCTTTCTCCTCACTCCCACTTTCTCTTCTCTGTGTTCTTAAAATACTTTGAGAGCTTAAACAATTTTTTTGTTGGATTGATTTTTTTGTGTGTAAACCGAAATACTAATTAAGGGACTTTCTCTTTTTTCTTCTCCAGTCCTTGAAAATCAAGGGTAGAGTTTGATTTTTGTATAACAAAAAGACCTGGGTTATTAATATTTATGGACCGGTACAGTCATCATTATATATACTGAAAAATGCTTTTCCATTTGGACCACTTTGCTTTTTATTTTATTGTGATGGTTGTGTTTTGTTCTCTGTTCTCCCACATTCTGCTTTGTCTGCTTTTGAACTACTTGTTCATGGTCAAGAGGATGAGGCGTTTGTACTTAACCTGTTCCACATTCTTATGTTGTCATTACTGCAACAATTACTCTTTCTACCGAGGGGCTGCTTTAGTTGGTGCTTCAGAGGAAGAGGATACAGAAGTCATACATTTCCCAGAAGTCATACATTTCCCATGCTATTTTTAGATTACCTGTAGATGGGATTGGATTATTTCAGATTATTTGTAATCTGGAAGATCAGAAAGCGTGTACAGAACAGATCTGAAATTGTGTGTAGTCTTTGGGTGGGAACCTGTCCACAGAATAAGCAGCCCTGTGCCAAACTGCTTTTAGGATGGGCAAGATAATGTTTTTGTGCCCCAGACTTTCCTTCTCTTCATGACCTCAGTTCTCATTCAGTCTAAATGTTTGTTATAATTCTCATCCCTCATAGAGCTCATCCTGAGCAGTTTGTCTGTATTTTACCAGAACAGATCTGTGCCAGGAGCTGGGCATGGATTGCAGGGTCCCAAGATTTCAGGATTATGATGAACACATTGCATGGGCTTTTCCTTATTTCTGTCCATTCAAGTTCTACTTAAAGTTGGAGAGAATGAGGTGAAAAAGCAAATCATGTGCTGTCTCTCTCTTGTTCCTGTTTCCCACAAGTCCTCTGGCTGTCAGCTGCCTGCATTTCTGTCACCCCACACGTTCACTGCATCCCCTGCTCTCTGCAGTTCTGCTCGAGTCAGAGGTGTGCAAAAATAAAGTACCAGGGGATTGTTGTTAACATTCTTTGGAGGGTGTACAGAAAATTAGATTTGGAAATCTAATTTTGGGAAATCTGTTCCCAACACTTGTGGAAGATAGACTTACAGTGTTTAAAAGAAGAATAATCAATCAGTACTGGTGTGCTGTTGATGAAATTTTTAAACTTTTGTTATAAGGAATACTTTTATATAATATTAAGATCTTAGGAGTCTCCCATGTCCAAGGTGAGAGATTTAGAATGATGAAAACTGGAGTAACTTACTAAGAAACTTTAAAAAATAATGCTGCCCCTGTAAATGTTTATAAAGATTTCTCTACTTTTGTCCCAAAAACTTGGATGTTTTGTCCTTTTTTTTTAAAGTGGAGGAAGCTTTGTCATAGTGACTTACCCCATTCCTACAAGTTCATACATTGTACAAAATAAGCATGGCAATAGAAAAAGAAGACAACTTTGGAATCTTACTCACTTGAACCTTCTGGTAGTCAATGTAGTGACTGCAGTTTTTTTAAGTTGGCAAAATAATCTTGGCTCTTATTTTTTTTTTTTGTCCAGACTTTTCAACTCACAGTGTGATATTGCTCATTTGGTCTTAAGGTTTTTGTTAAATTGTCTGCATTTTTCAGTCAGTTGACTGTTCTGAGTGATATTACAGGGTCATTTGAGGCGTGTTATGTGATGCCACAATAATATAATTGGAAGGAAGTCAATACCAGTCTTCCATATTCCCTGAAGGGACAGCGCAAGTTCCCGGCTTTCATGATGTCCTGGAATGGGCATAGGTGGATTCTTTGACTCTTCCCCCAGGAAGAGCAAATCTGTGTCATCTTCTGTGCCAGATGTGCCCCAGAACCAGTGTTTGCACCACTTAAATTCTCTGAGAGGATCTTACTGCAGTGACTTTGTTCTTCCTGGTTTTGTGCAACACTTTATTAGGGCTTTGTAAGCTTTGTGTCAGGATTTCTGTCGGGCTTAACTGAAGGTATTTCATTTTCTATGAAATAATTTGGTGTGACAGAGGGGTGTGTAATACAAATTCTGCAATAAGTGACCTTAACATCCTGGAAGCTTGAAATTCCCAATTCTCTTATAGATGAACTTTTGCACTCTCTGCCTGAAGGGTGGAAAAGGGAGTGCTTTTTACGTGGCTATAGCTCACCAAAAGAAGAAGCCAAAGCAATGCGAAAATATGCTGTGTTCACCATAAAACAAATGTCTGTGGTCTGTGATGAAGTACATTTTAAATTGGATCACTAGAGGTGTCTTTTATAAAGGAAGAGCCTGAGGATGGTGCTGAACCTCATGGAATCACTTTTGGTATCACTGGAGCTCAGCTTGTGCCTGCAGGTGATTTGGAAACGTGAGTTAGTTCAGGGACAGGCCAGTGACAGGTTGTTCCAGTGGTGTGGCAAGAGGAGAAAGAAGAGATTGTAGAAATTCAGTGGCAAATATAATGGAAGGTTTTGTATTGACTTTAAAAGAGGTAAAGTGCCCTGATTTGCTAAAGGAGAAGAATAAAGCTTTCATAGACTGTAATAAAAACTAGTTATTATTCAAGATGGACGATGGATTGATTGGTGTTTTTTTTCTCTAGAAAAGGAGTGAAACCTTGAAAAAAATCAAGAATTTGATTACGCAGGTTGCTGACCACTGTCAGCTTTAGTGCTATTCAAGCAGTTTATTTGCAAATCCGAAAGCTGCACAGTTGTAGAAATTTCTATCTGAGTAGGTCCAACTGAAGGTTTTTTAATAGGTTTAGCCTAGAGGCCTTGTTGGGCAAATACATCTGTCATGTAAAGCAAAACTGGAAAATAGGCAATAAATTCAGGACTGACAGTGGGGCAAACTGAGATGGCTTTTATCTTGTAAAATAAAAAACTAAGCTTCGGATGGACTACAGCCCTTAAAGCGTGTGGCAGGGTGATTGGGAATATCTGGGAGAGCTGAAGGGACAGGCTCTAATTCTCAGAGAGAGTTTGTGCTGAAGGATGTCTCATTGAGAACCTGTGATCAACTCTGGGAGCAGAAGGCAGATGAAGTAAAAGGCAGTTTTAGTGAGGGGCCTGATGCTGTTGGACATGGAGCCCTTCATTCCCTTTACACAGAGATGTTTAAGCATTTTAAATACAGCTGTCTGGTTTGTGTGTTATTTGTGCTAGTTTGAGCTTCCTTTCATGGATTAATATGGTCAGGTGTGCAGTTCATCATGATTTTATAAGGGTGAAAATACTGTGTTTAGATTTTCAGGTGGTGACTTCAGTCTTTTTCAGCTTGCTGAATATTTCACTGTTGAAGTTACACTTCTGTGTGGCACTGAAGCCAACCTAACAGTGAGATTGGTTGTCTTCGTTTTGTGTTTGTGATGATGTTGTTTGTTTGAGTTTAAGATCCCATTAAGGAAACAGGTTAAAAGTGAAAGTTTATTTTCACTTCTTAGTGAAGCACAGTAACTCATACCATGTCAACAAAAGGAAATTCTGTAATCTTCCTTGAGCAGGATAAAGGGTCTCTTAGTGACTTTGAACCGCTGCTTTCTCATTCCCCATGTGTGTCTGGAGGAAGATAATTCTGTTTACTTGTCTGAACCTGTTGTGCTGTATTTAAGCTCCAAAGTTACTTCATCCTCATCACTGAGTGTCTTCAACTGTAGCAGGTATCACTTGATTAGGCCCCTGTGGATTTAAGGTCAGTTCTAAACCAAGTAAAATACTGAGTGTGTGTTAACAAAGTCTCTTTAGCACAGAATCTCTGATGAAATGCTGAATGCCTCCATCTCTTTCCAGTTAGGGGTTTGGTATTCAGCTATTTCCTGATGTACCTGATTTAGTAAGTTCAATATGGTACAATTCCTTCTAAACACAAGAGAACTGTTTTGCTGTGATGATGGTCAGACACTGGAGCAGGTCACCCAGAGAGATTGTGGAGCCTCTGTCTGTGGAGGCGCTCAGAAACTGCCTGGACATTTTTCTGGATGACCTCCTGTATCTGTCTGCTTGTGCTGGGGCATTGGACTGAGACCTCCAGCGG